ACGACACGTCTCCTGAGGACCTCAACAAGGCCGTCAACGACTCCTGTCCCACTGTGGTTGACGGGGTTGTTTACTATGTGTGTAGTGTGGAGCGGGCTGCTGCAGCCTCCGCGCGGCTCGCTGAGATCGTCAGCTGGGCTGCCACCGGCCGCCGCGGCTCGGACGTCGCGTCGGTTTGCTCCTCGCCGCTCGACCTGGACCATCTCGAGCGGGCACGCCGTCGACGAGGGCTCGGGAACTGGTATGTGACCTGGCCGCATCCTCTTCCCTTGCTCGAGCATTTGCTCGACACCTCCCAGGGCGTGTACGTACGCCCGGGTGCTCTGCCGCCCAAGGAGGGGCACCTCGTCGTCCAGGCGCAGCTGGTTGACGCCATGCGGCTGGTCACCAGCGGCGTCTCCGTGGGCACCGCCCCCGTCTTCCCTCGTGTCTTCTTCCCGGACGGCTCCCCCCTGCTGGAGCCGCGGCCCCCGTCGGAGCCGCTCCCCAGCAGCAGCGTCGCCACCCGGGTCCAGCCACCGGCGGCCGCCCTGCCGCCTCTCCGTCCTGTCACGGACGTGACTGACATCCCGGTGCCTGGGCCTCGCCGACGCCGTCGCCGCCCTCGTCGCGGCCTGCGGGCCACTCAGTGCTTCCGCTGCAACTCCTTTGGGCACTCCAGCGACTCCTGTGCAGCGCCCTCCGCCACCTGCAGGACATGTGCAGGGAGTCATCCATCGGCTTCCTGCCCTTCCCGGGACGGGCCCCCCCTTTGCTCCAACTGCGGCGCGGGGCACAAGGCTTCCTCGCGGACCTGTCCCCTGCGCCCTCGGGACCTGCCTCCCTCTCCGGGTCCCGGCCGCCCTGCAGCCACCACCTCTGCGCGGAAGAAACCTCCGGACGCCCTGCGACTCCCGCCGGCCTTGGCCGCGGTGGCCTCGCTCTTGGCCATCCTGGCCGACACTACCATCAGGGGTGTCCCTATTTGGGGCGCCCATCGACCGGGTCGTCATCGTGGGAAGAGACGGGCGGGCGGACAGTGACTGTGCCCACCCTTTTGCCGTGCGCCGCCATCAGTCGCGGATAGGTCGCGGCCCTTTTCCACCTCTTATAAACTGTTGTTCTGGATTTTCCGCTACGTGGCCGTGGCGCTGGACTGGCGGGGCGTTCGCGCTGCGCGCGCCCTGCTTTCCCCCGCCCGGCCTTCTGGATTCTTCGCGTCAGCGCTGGGTCCATGCCGCTGAGGCGTTCCCACTACACTGAACCCCCCCCCCCCCCCCGGGGGAGAACTGATCGGACGTGCGTGCTGTGCCAGGGGTAGCGGGAAAGGTCAAATTCGGGTTAGAAAGTGACGTGGGGGTTTTGACGAAGGAAAGCCCCCAGAGCCGCGACAGCACGAGCCGGCTGGCGGAGAAGGTCCTCGAAGGTAGGCGGGATGTCCTGCTTCGCTGCTTCGAATCTCCAGACCGACGCGGTCGGAGAAGGGGCACACGTCGACGAGGTGGATGGCGTCGGCGCGGTCCGCCCCGCACCGGGGGCAGACAGCAGACGGGATGATGTTGTAGCGGTTAAGATGGGCAGGGGTGGAGGCGTGGCCGATACGGAGCCGGACAAGGGAGGTCAGGACTTTGCGGCTGTGGCGCACTTTGGCGAACCAGGGGCGCGTCGGCGGAGAGGGCGTAAGGCGGTGGAGATGGCGGCCTGTGGTGGCGTTGGCGGCCGACCAGGACGCCGTCCAGGCCTCCCGGGCCAAAACGAGCTGATCCCGGTAGAAGACCGAAGGAGGAAGGCGGAGCGCGACGGGGTCGCCGTGCAGGCGGGCCGCCTGAGCTGCAGCATCCGCGGCTTCGTTTGGCGGGACGCCCTTGTGGGCGGGAACCCAAGCCAGCGCGAGGGAAGCTCCCCCGCGGATCAGCTGGAGGGCGCTGCGGCGCACCTCGACGAGTTCCGCCGAGGTGGACGCGGTCGGTGCGGCGGCGGAGAGAGCCTTGACGGCGGAGAGACTGTCCGTGACGATGGTGACGTCACGGAAGGCGCTGCGGATGGCGTAGTGGAGGGCCTTAGCAATAGCATATACTTCGGCCGTGTAGACCGAAGAGGCGGCAGGCAGGGAAAAGCACTCCGTGTGGAGGGAGACAGCGTCGTAGAAGGCCGCCCCGACCGTTGTGAGGCCGTCGGCGTCTGTGGGCCGAGAGCCGTCCGTGGCGAGCACCCTGGTGGAGCGCCAGAGCCCGCGCTTAAGGGCGTCGTAAACGGGAGCGAGGGAGTCGACGCCGTCCGCGACAACCGGAGCCGGCGGGAAGAAAGAGTAAGTGGTAAGAGGGTAAGTCCAATCTTGATGGTGAAGAGCGTAGCATGGCCAAGTATGATAGTATGGATCCGCCTGAGGGGGGAG